AAATCAGTATCTTTACATACGATTGAATGTTAAAAACCAACAAAGATGTTTAAGCACAAAGTATATATTTATACCAAATAAAACAACTGAAAAAGTATTACATAAAGAAAAATAATGTAACAGAACGTACTTAAGTACCTAACTTACAGTCATGCTCATATCTAAAAGTAACATTGGTAACTAATATATATAATTTTTGACAAGGGTGCATTTAAGAGTTCTCTAACATACAACATTCTAAATGTGGAGAGTATTTTTTCCAAGATACAGAAAACAAATTATTTTTACACAGGCACACCTGTTAATTTGTATAAAAAACATGCTTGTAAGTGAAAAGGTCACTTTAGTACTAATTTACCAGCTGTGTGAAAGCTATGTAGTGTTAATCATGTTGAAATTGTCTCTTCTCCTTTTGCATTGGTGAGCGCCAACACTGAATGGTACAATATTTGATCCATATGGTTTACTGACACTGCAACCTGCTTCCAAGCAGTAGCCCTGCCCAGGTGTTGAACAGCACAGTACTGTACAGCCCCATCTGTCTGCATGTAGTGTATTTATAACTAAAAGCTATTACAATTATTACAATGATTTCTGTTTCAATATATACATCAGTATAAAATACTACCCAAAACACTTTCGCATTTCAAACAATTTTAACCACTTCATCAAACAATGCATTTGCAGAAATAAAAAAAAAAAAAAAAAAATCCAAATTAATGTTGATTGCCAACAGTACAGCATCTCTATGGTATGTTTCCTAATAAATGAGAGAACGGAAATGTATTAAAATCAATCAAAATAAGTATCACAAAACAGAATTAGTGTTAGAGCAGTTCAAGGATTCCCAGTTTGTCAGTATCTACCCTAACCAGTGCTACCCAAATACAGTATAAGCCATTTAGTGTTTCTACAATGAGAAGAAAACATTCAAATATTAAAGCTATGACAAACACACAAAAGCAAGGAAAGAACATTTGTTCTGGACTCATCCCTGCTGTAGCAAGGTACAGCATCATGGCAGGAGGTTGCACTCAGTGCATCGTATGAGCTATGATACCTGGATACAACCCTGGAAGACAACTGAAATGGAATCAACTCTGAATTTCCTTGCTGTTGTGGTTTTATGTCAGACCATTCAAGTTATAACATCTTAGTGTCTTTTTTTCCTGAAGGGAAGAAGAGAGAAGAATTCATAATGAAATTGTAAAAATGCTACTAAAAATCCCTATCTTGGACACAATATACTGCTTTAGGAGCTACTGTGTCATTGCACAACATAAGTGGCTTATTAATCGCTGAATTGTTGGTGTAGCAGAATGTGTTTGTCACTGTGGATGTGTTTTGAAAATTGGTATTTTAAAACCTGCCTGTATTCCATAACAAGCCACAGTTTTGTGTATTTCAAACACTAATATCCTTACCTAAAGTAGTAAATGTACATTGATAGTGGCAAATTTAAAATCTCTGCCTCTGCTGCTTCAGTTTTTAAAATGAGACTTGGTTCAGAGTTTTCATTCTTTATATTACCTTAGAACAGAACTATTTCTGAAGCATAAAAAATTCCAAATAATAATAATAATAATGATATGGGGGTTTTTTTTGTTTTGCTTTGCTGATTCATTCCTGACTTGAAATATAATCCATGTCTTTAAAAAAACACAAAACAAAAACCCCCAAAAAATCTCTCCCCAGGAGAAGTCCCTGATAGTTGAGATTTTTTTCAAAACCAAGTTTCATGCTTACAGTATCTTTATAGTCATGTTATACACCCTTGAAAATAAAGGCTCACGTTGAAAATGGTGACAGGCCCTTAATTATAGAGGTGTTAACTGGTGACACTATTTTTCATCAGAAAAAAAAAAAAAAAAAAAATAAAAGCCCCACTAAAATTCATAGCTTATACTGAAAGTTTGATTCATGCTCATTTTGTTAATTTAAAAATACTCTTTGGAAACCGTGTCAACTCCTGCAGACAACTTAGTGATACATCTTTTCCTGTTAAAATAAAGATAATTCATATTCACCTCTACCCCATGCTATGCTCTACTACTAATATACACTTCATTACCTGCTCATGTCACCATCTAACACATATCTTTACATTCTTCTACATATAGTGTCCAGGGCTTATTTTTCACCAAACAGAATTTGATAACTATTACACTTATGAGTTTTTCTTGAGAATTTTTTATTATTATTTTTTGGTGTTCTAGCCAACTTTTGGTGTTCATTGCAACTTAGAGTGATATTAATAGTTTGGACTTTTTCCATGCTAACTTAAAATAAACTTTTCATAATGTTTTTTTTTTTTCCCGTTAAGGATTTTAAAATCTAAACTTGCTTAGATATCAAAACTGAAAACCAGAAGAGAGATTAGATGCATCTGTCATTTTAAAATGTTTTCTGCTACGTTAAAATGCATTTTAAAATTGTACATATGACATTTAGGCTTCTAACTTTTACATTGCTGCAATCAGATTCTAATTCAAAATCCTGCAAATAAACATGAAAAATAAGCCACTGGTCATTAATTCTAAAGGTTACATTCAAAGCTAGCCTTTAAAAAAATAAAAAAAAGTTACAGGCAAAACATACTGATTTATGTACTCACTAGCTTATCAGGCTACAATAGGCATGTTTTAAGTATAAAAAAAGCAGACAATTCAGATTTAAATAAGACTATGTGAAATCAGAAAAACCCTTAGATTTCACTATTTCTTAAAAAAAAGAACACCTATAATTACTTCCCATCCTACAGCTACAGTTAAACCAACTAACAAAAATAATAAAACTATTTTTGACAAACAAAAGTTAGGTTAGAATATGTGGCAACAATCAAAGTTCATATGTTTCTATGTAAAATGACTCATGATTTACTATAACATAAAATATGAACAAGAGCACTTTGTGACTAATAAAAGAGCTACTAGTAGAAACACTTAATGCCAAACAGTCTTCAGCCCTCCTTTAAGTCATATCTCCAAATCAGTATTGACTTCTTTTGACCAGATACATCATTTTTGGCTTGTCACCCCAGTATGTCATGTTTTACCACTTGCCACAGGCAGCAGGAGACAACTAGCTGAGCAAACTACAAGCAGTGACATGCAGAAATTAACTCTCAAATCTGAGTACTTAGATAAAATGATATGCAAGCGCACACTAGGACAAAAGGAATGGCATTCGTCATCCAAATAGGCTCATCATCCCTCCCCACCCCCCTTGAACAGTAGTTGCAACAGCAATAGAAAAAGATCAAGAAGATGTCTGTTCTTCAGAGTCAACTGTGGAAAAAAGTCAGCAATATATAACAGCAGCGATGGACAAGGAAGAGCAAAATGAAAGAATCTTGTTGAATATTTGTTCATTTACTTTTTCTGAACACAAGCCAAAGTGTGCCACACTGGCTTGTTCTGAACTTCAGGTACAGATGTCCTATTCTCCTTAGATCCTTCACAGATTTAGAATTCAGTCTCCCTGAGGCCCCTATAACCAAGTAAGAAAACTCTCTTTATCTAGCTTGGTGGCTGCCAAGACAGATTCCATGTCATTAAGGATGTCAGAGCTCAAAGCCTCTTGCAGACTTGGCATCAGTTCTTCTCCTTCTATATTCATCCCATCTCCTTCCAGTGTCCCAAGGTCCACATTTGTCCCTGGAATGGCTTCAAGGTAGTCTGGGAAACGGTTCTGATGGGACGGTATGTTACTTTGGCTGATACTGTCACCTAGTTAAAACACAAAGCAAGATGGATATTAAACATAGTGGAAGTACCAAGCCTGTAATTTATCAGGACAACTGGTTAAAGGTTAATCCTGTATCTCTTGCATCATACAAGCAACCTGACTGATACATATCCATCACAAATCCAAAGATGACTTGACTGCATGCATGTACAAAGAACATGCCTTTGTTTCAACCTTTTCACCACTGACCCAAACCCCTACAGATCTTTGATGTCATTTAACGTATTTTCATTTTTACACTTAAAAGAAAAAAGACAATACTGAGTCAACTATTGTTTTGAAGCAGTATTAGCAACACTGGTGAGGTACTATTCTTAGCTCTGAACAAACAATATTACTTAAAAAAGCAAATGGACACTCAAATTCCATATCACAGCAGAAGTGATACTATTTCTGAGCAATCTCCCATGCTCCCAATGGAGCTGATTATAAATATGTTTGTCACAAATCTAACTATAATATTTCTATTACAGAAACAGAAGAAGGTAGAAAAACAATGCAAAAAGTATCACAGCATCCCAGAGTTGCCCGTTTTCACTGCAAATGGACACAAGTATATTTGGAGAACATGTATTAAGGATGTAGACAAAAACAGACCTGTATCCATCTCATCAACACTGTTCAGGAAGTCATCGGGGGTTCTGGGTACACTATAACTGCTCATGCTAAGTCCACTATCTGTGCTTTCATCTCTGGAGTGATATGTTCCACTGTAACAGAAGAAAGGGAGGAAAAAAAAATGAGGGTAGAATACGGAAAAAATTAAAATAAATGCTTGTTTTTGAACCAGTTTAAGGGCTTTGAAAAAACTGCTATCACAAGAAATGCTCTATTCAAGTAAAAAACTAAAGCCTTTGTGTGAGACACCTGGGTTTTATTTTATGCAGACCTTTTCCAATTAAAACCATATTACTTAGATTCAATTTAAGTTGATGAAAGCATACTTAAGCAGCTTTAAAAAACTGCCTACCTGTGTTCTGCATAGTTTTAAATTTTTCATACTCGCCCACAACTTACACACTTCCATAAGCATAAAATAAAATTTGTAACTGCTAATGTCCCCATGTTTAATCAAGCACTGAAGTGTATTTTTAGGTCACTGCTGTTATAAATAGGAGCTATAGTTGGAAATCCTTGAGGGATTCTTTGTTTGCTTCCTACTGTTGCATTACTACTAGTTCAGTCGTACATGTCACGGCAAGAGAGCGCCCTAATATAAATCAAATACTGGTACAGAAGCCATCCTGTAAACAAACCCTGCTCAGAATGATCTTGTTGACAGAACAGTTAACAACACAGTGATGGCACGGGCCCTGACATGCGTTCCCTTTCCTACTGCCATCTTTCTGCCAGCGGAACGAGCACGACCAAGAAAGCTGGAGTGGGAAATTTGGGCTGGGGCGAGGCTGGGAGAAGTAGGCCAGTGTATTCAGTTAACATGGCAAGGTTTTCATAGCAGGGGGGCTGCAGGGGTGGCCTCTGTGAGAAGACATGACCCCATGTCTGATACAGTTGGCTCCAAAATGGTCCTGTTCCTGCCCAAAGCTTTGCCCATCAGGGACACTGGTGGTACCTTTCTGATAACGTGTTTAAGAAACAGTAAAAAAACCCCACTGTGCAGCAGCTGGGAGAGAGGAGTGAGAAAACATGAGGGAAACAGCCCTGCAGACACCAAGGTCAGTGGAGGAAGGGAACGAGGTGCTCCAGGCACTGGAGCAGAGATTCCCCTGCAGCCCATGGTGAAGATGATGGTGACACAGGCTGTCTCCCTGCAGCGCATGGGGGACCATGGTGGAATAGATATACACCTGCAGCCTGT